CTAGTACTTGCAAAAGGATTTTCCTCAAATGAGAGAAAGGAGGGACAGAAAGATGGGAGCATAAACACGGCACCTCTACCAAGATCAATCCAATAAAGCTTCATCACATAGGATCCTATAGGGGGCGCTACTGAGCAGGCCACCAAATTCAAGGAAGAGGTGCGTCCTGAGCGCCAGCAGGTCCCAGCGATGGCACCGCTGAGCTCCACTCGACCCCTGACCTCAGTCGCAGAAATAAACGCTCTCCTCGGGTCGGAATGCGCGCCCCCCCCCCACCCCCACCCGACTGCACATACTTGGCACCGCAAACCCATGCACCGATACATATCAAATAATTCAGCGGCGCTTTCGCCACCTCCCCCGCCCGGGAAGTGGTAACACCACCTGCATAAGCACAGATTCGGCAAAATCGCAGGGATCAGTAACACGGACCGTCCCGAAAACATGGGCCGCCACACCCGCAGACGCGCCAAGAATACACCCCCCATTTGCTACCGTCACGGACAGAAGCCTGTTCTTGCTTCTCCACCGTTCAGGGTGATTATGTTTAATGCCCCCCCAGCAGGGTGTGTGAGATGGCGTATCTGAACTGTGTAACCATAGTAAAAAAAATATATATATATAAAAAAAAACATCCACGCTTTACCCAGGAAAAGAATTTCCTACTGTCAGAAGAAAAAAAATGGGCTCCAGTCCAGCTGCCAATATAGACTCTTCTATTCCTTCATGTTACATTGTCAAGAACCCCCCCCCCCCCACCGAGCCCCCCTCCCCTTGGCACTGCCAGAGCCAAAACAACTCAGTATATCACCTCACTAATAATACGCCGACTATTAGCGTGGATCCCGGGGGCTACAGAGAAGATCCAGTTGTTGGGACATTCATTCGATATCTCAGACTCTTAGACTAAGCAGCACAACAGAAGAGAGAATAATGTAAGATGCTGGTCTACCACCCCCCCCCCACCCCCCACCCAAAACAACATGTGCAAACATTGGAAAACTGCATCCTGTACAAATGTATCTGCGGAATGGAGAAATCATGTTCTGGGCTGTTGGCAGGGGGGGGGGGTGAGGGTGGGAGAGGCACAGATAAGGGATTGAAATAAGATACAGATGGAGTCAGCGACCAAAAATCCATAAGCAGAAGAAAAACAAACCGCCCACCCCTTTAAAAAAAAAAAAGAAAATGAAAAGTCTCAGATAGGAGCCACACAGAAATGTGTACACCCCCACAGTAAAGGGTATAGCAACCCGGGGGCCAAAGCCTCCCTTCGATCGTGTCATTCGTAAGGGGGGGGGGAACAGGCCACATGTTTTCGATAAGCCTCCCAGAGAGGCTGTGAGGTAACGATGAAGTCACGCTCACCCTGCGCTGAAGGTCCAGACGAATTCTGAAAACAGGCCGCAGGAAAGCGCTGGTGTAATCTGGGTTGGGGGGGGATTGGCATGCCACCACACTGTTAAACGCGCCGGGGCTCGGGGCAAGGCCTGGTCGTGCCTTTGTTGCCAGGGTGAACGACAATAACGTAGGGAATGGGGGGGCGGGGGGAGGGACGCTCATATTCGGGTTCCCCTCGAAGTCGCCTCGCAACATTACACCCTCAACAAAAAACACAAGGGGTGGCTGACTGTGTTGGGGGAGGGACCCCCCCCCACCCTTTCCAGAAGGTTACATCATGTCATACGAGTCAAAAAAAAAAAAAGCACAATTGTGAACCTCACAAGTGTGAGGCTCGGGGTTTGGCGTCAGCCCACAGCCTGTCAGGGTGGATCGGCCTGAGCGACAAGCGTTTCAGGGCAGGAACCCAACACAGCTGTGATCGCTTCAGCCAGACTTTGGCCTCCAGTACGTGCTCAACGAGTGTGACCTGAGGAGATGGAGGAGGTGGCTAGCCACCGCAGAAGAGAGATCTCTCGGAGAGATGACGCTGGCGGCAGTATGGAGTGGATAAGCCTCACAGCTCGTAAACCACGCTTGGAGATCTCGCAAGTATACGAATCGCGTGGAGAGCGCCTGTCGTTCCTGACAGCGCTCCACCCCAACACCTACTATCCATTCCGATAAAATGACACCCTGACCCCCAGCGCTTATTCCTGAGGTTATCAAAAGGTAAAGGGGGCTTTAAATGTTCAGTAGAGGGGTGACATTGTTTCACTACCCCTCCGGGTCTTCAGTAAAGGTCATCTCAGCCTCCGGGCCCTTGTAGAATAGCCAACGTTTTACAGCATGTAGTCATGGGTTTGCACGGCGGCGCACTGCCATCTCCCAAGGTTCAAACCTCACTTCTTCTCTGTGGGAGTGGAGTTTAGATCTTCTCCCTGCTTAACCGACATACTAGTCACAGTGAGTGGCCATGTGCATGTTTCTGTGTAAGCCTTCCCTGAGACGTTATCTGTCCAAGTTGACCCTAGCATTGCGACTTCTGCTACCGAGAACAGGTTCCAGGCCCCATTGTGACCCCCACCAAGATTAGCAGGTGGAGGAGTCAACTAAACCAACATATCAGCCATTTTCATGAACTAATTCGTTAGCTTAGCAAAGCTGGGGGGGCACCAGGACCAGACTGGGGGGCCCCACACTCATGCCTGTGAACCAGACGGAAGAGACTAGCTCAAAAGCAATACAAGTTCCCAAACATTTCTGATTTATGTTGTGTGGAAAACATTGCAATTCTAGGAAAAAGCAAAGATTTTAATTATTTTTCCCCTTACAATAACTGACAGGCATTTTTCAGAAGCACAAACGTGTATCTTTTTTTAACTTGCGCGCAGCATGAAGCACCCGGAACTCTCACCCCCCCCCAGCCATAAAGACCATGCGTGAAACAGCATGACACCGCGGATGGGGTACGAATCAGCCTGTCCACAGAGCCAGCCAGACAGCCAGCAGGGCGTTTCGATCCCCCTCCTCCCCTCCCCTCCCCTCCCCTCCCCAGCCCTGAAACAAGTATCCGCTAAAGAACAAAAACAATAACACGCTATGGGAAAAGGTTCACTGAGACGCAGCACCAGAAACCCAAGACAGATGCAAGAAGTGTTACAAGACAGAACGCGCCGGTGAACGTTACGCACCACTGCATCACGCCTGCATTTTAATTTACGCAAATGCCCTGAAACACCCCTCTTATACCCCACCCAAGTCTATGCCCCCCCCCCCACACACACAAACAGGTACATGCCAGAAGACCTGCACACAAAACATCCTCAGGACAAGTTTGAGGGAGGACCCTGTCAACATAGCTTTGAGTAACTTCCTTAACCGGAATTTCAAAACTCCAATTTCTCAGCAAACTTTCACTCCGATTTGGCAATTTTTGGGAGATTTGCTCAACTGCACTTGCTGCATCACTGGCCGCTGGTGAACTTGCTCACAATAGGGCACTCCCCATTCGCACTGAATAATAAACCCCTTGTCATTCTACTGACTAATCTACCAAATGCGTTCATTTTACTTAACAGAAACACATCGTCTAAGAGCACGGGACACCACCAGGTTAATGGCTAACACACGCTAACAAAGTCATTCATGATTCCAGCAAGAAACGTCTTGTCTCTTTGGGGCTCATAAACGAGGCTAATCAATCACCGTTTTTGGGCACCTTATAGAAGACCTCCGAAAGGCGATTCTCATTCATACTTCCATACCACCTTCTCCAGCACATTTCATTTGCTATTGTAAGGGCCAGAGGGGTATAATGATTCAAGCGAGTGATAGAAGCCTAATTGATTTTTTTTTTTGAACATCATAAATCACGTGTAAAAACCCCCAGCAGCAATTTTCCAAATGAGCCGCAGTATAAATAACTCCAGGCCCTTCCGAAACGGCCCGGCGTGCCGTAATAAACTGTCACCGGTGGGGTGTAAGAGCCCGCCTGCAGTTGGACTCGGCCCCCCCCGCGACTCCCCGTCGGCCCGCAGCAACCGCTAATTTCTCTATTTCACAAATTCAGTGCTTATGAGCTGCTAAAATCCAGGATTTATAAACAGTGTTGGGGAAGTCACTCACAGAAGTAATCCATTACAGACGGAGGTGAAAAGTTCAGGTCCAGAAAGTACAAATCCAGACCAAGGTTTTGTTTCAACCAACCAGTTGAATACTCTGTGACTGTGACTCTTTATACTCAACTGCTTCCCCAACACTGTTTATAAAGTACTCAGTCTGAGTAATTTGGTTCTTCAGACTGGGATGACAGGAGTTTCATATGGGTTTAATGGGACGAGTAGGCCTATTTTAATATGGTCAACGGCCATTCTTTTAAATCACAGTATGGCGAAAAATACAAGTACCAAATGCGTAATCTCTGTGGATAAGCGGTCTGAATGGTGACAGGTAAGATTTCGTTAGAAACCCTTTTTTAAAAAAAAGAATGAATATTTTAGGGGAAACCATGATCTGGTCATCTGTAGGCTATTACTGACAATAAAGTCCAGAGTCCTTAAAATGAACAACGGTGGCTACAGGAAAATATACCAAGACTCGTTTATAGGGCGAGATACAACCGGCAAACATTCATCTCACGCAAAACAAAAAGGAGTGTTTGGCATTATAAAGACCATTTAAAGAGCAGCTCATTCTGCACCCTGAAAATACGAACCCTGGAGGGGAAGCGTGGTTCGACAAACTATAACTGTATTAAATGCCTTTGATGAAGACCATCTGCTCCATTAAGCGCACCACCCCTGCATGTCCAAACACCCTCCCTGCGCGCAGCTTTAGATGCATTGCGGCTTATTTCTCTAAGAGAGCCAGGATCCCTTTACGATCCATTCTTCAGGCTGCACATCGCCGGGAAGCGAGCCAGCGCTCCGCCGCCCCACCCGCGACCATCCCCGAGCGGCGCTGGAAGGTGTCACCGACTGTCAGGGACCAGAGTGAGGAAATCACACTGCAAATCTGAAACTGAACAAGGACGTTTGCTCACTTCAAATTAAACAACGGCCACTTTTAAATCGACATCCTTATTCGTTAGAAAATGAAAAATAAATGAGCTACAGAAAGATCCAGCTGCCGGCGCCGTAATTAACGCGCTTGATCTTAGTCTAAGTCTAATAGCAAAATTTGCATTTGTGAAAACCGGTGGAAGTTGGAAACAGTGAACCGAGGGAGCGATTTTATTAAACATCCCAATGACTGCGGTGACTTTAAATCCAAACAGGTACCAGGATGTAAGCGGGCTTCCCATCCGATCAGATAAAGATGTTGACAATTAAACAAAACTCCACATCCAGCTGCCCATCCCAGAATTTAAATGCAAGATCTGAAACCCTGAATTTTTGCACAGCGACTCTTAAGAAATGTACTATCCGAGCAGTTCTAATGAAGGCATAAGTGACTGTGTAAGGCAGCACTTTCTAACAAATCCTGACTACGGCAGCCACGGTCGTTATCATCCTTCCCCGGGAACGGAAACGATTAACGATTCTCAGCCTTGGCAACTGGTTCCATAACGCACGAAACAATGTGGCCCTATGGAGGAAGGCAGAGTTGTAGGTGGGCATCCCATATGGCGCGGCACCGTGGGAATGCAGGGATTGCTCACGTTTACCTCTAAGCCGCCACGCTTTGGATGCATGCATGCATGCTGCGTAATGCATTCGCATCCCAGCAAACCAGAAATGACCGGTCTCATAAACCACACCGGCTTAGAATCATCTTCGCCGCCAACTTACCGCGACCACGCGTGTCTTATGTTACTTCTACGCGCTTTCGGACGGTCAGTCCGCAAGAGGCGGTGAGACCTACGAGCTGATCACAGCGGGATAGTTAGCAATGTGGCTACGGCTAGTTTACTCACAAACAAACGCCGCAGCCCGTTTTAAGTATACACCCCTTGCACGAAACGCGTCTTATTATTGAACTCGCAAATCATATAAACGTTACCATACACTAAGACGGGACGAGCAAGTAGCGTTCACTTTACATTACCCCTATTAGTAAGTACGATTTAACTATAGCAAGTTATCTCGACCGCTATCTACAATTAAGGAATGGAATTACCTGAAACAGTCACGTAAACAGCAGAAGTAAAAGCAAAAAAAGAACAGCGATCGGCCACTTTTCATTCAGTCCCTCCGCGCTGATCGGGATTGTTGCGGATGCGGCAGCTCCTGTTGCGAGCGTTTTTGAATTTAACACTCACTATTTGGCAGGAAGTAGTCACTGCCTCCACCTCGCTTTACTAACACGGAGATCACAATCTGGCAGATTCACCTACGGAAAGATCCCCCGGACCGTGTTACTCTCTTATGTATTTACGAGGCGTGTTTCTAGACATAATATTCTTTATTTTTACAACGTGACATCTCTTTTCTGTTTCAATGCATCAGCATTTTTAAAAGTCATTATATTGCACTGGCACATCACTTTTACAGCCTATATTTTTCATTTGGTCTTGTGTCGTCAGGTTATAGATTTAATTGTTGTAATATGTTGTTATTTTAGTACTCTTAACCATACTATTTATACTGCGGAAACCTACATGTACAATTTCACTACCGTGTACGTTTACACGAACAAGGCGTATAAATAAATATGAAAAAAACAGCTGGTACAATTATTTTATATTATATTGTTATATATAAGAAAGAAAGAAATACAATTCTGCCCACAGATACCGTAAATCCCCGAACATTTGTCACAGTAGGTCATTTTATCTTACAGATTTGCGCATGTCGGCGCCATGCAGGTACATCAAACCAACGCCCACTCGCCGGAGTTGGCTCGCATCCCAGTCAGGTAGACTCACCCAGGGATCCCCGATGTCTTCTTTTCTGGGTCCGCAGGCGGCGAGTTTTCTAGCAGTTTGTGTAGGAACCGTATTTCCCCTGAGTAACCGCGTCCCGCAGTGCTGCATCACGCCAGACCGGTACCGGCACTGCTTCTGCGGGCTGCCAGGGGCGAAGCTTCCAGATTCATCTGCACGCCGCTCTGACAGCTGGGGTTTCCGCGAAATACTGCAAAGAAAGTGCTCCTGCAATGGCATCAACCGCAGTAAAACCAAGGATGAGAAGCCGGCTCGAAGAGGCTCTTCGCCCCCTCCCTCATGTATAGACATTTACTGCATTGCTGTTGGCATAGAAATCATAACTTAATAGGCCCATAACATGCCCCTGCTCATTTGTGAATTAAAAAAAAAAACATCCCGTTGTTCTCATAATTGGTAGCAAAGTGGACGTAGACATGCAATGGCCGTAACCACTCATACGGAGAATTAATAAGGCTGAGATGCATAAATAATACCTTAGACCCGCAGTGCCCCGACAAACTGAGCTGGTTTTATCAACTGACTTACCGCCTTTAGGCAAGAACGATGCCGTATCAGGTAATACTGGTGCGCTTCGTCAAAACAGGATTTCTTTCGGGAACACGATCCCCCAGGCTGTTTCTGTTCGTGTTATATCATTCATAACAGTTCCCACGAATCAGTCGTATAATTTAGAAGCGCAACCCGCAGTTATTCCTTAAGATTTTTTATGAGTGAGTGGTGTTCATTGCCAGTTTGGCAGAAGTATTTTTTATAGTCATAGTCTATATTGTGTGCTGTTTATAGGTAATTAGGCCTAACTAAATAAATAAATAAATAATGGCATCCATGCCGAGAAGAGGCCACACATGTAGCAGGAATGAGATAACAAATCTAAATGGACAGACTTCATTAATCCCCATGGGGAAATTACGGTGTAAACAGCGACAACATGAAACATGCAATAGACCTAAAGCACAACTCAACTTTTATTAAGAATGCAAACGCAAAACTCCAGGGATACGCCGCAGCAGGTGGGCTGGAAAAACCAGCACCGTTAGCACTTCTGCCTTGATTTAGTTGCACGGCATTTTAAGTTTTTTTTCTCTTCCCTTTACTATCACTCTATCCCACACCCACATGCCCGCTTTGGATAAATACGCCCCCCTGTGGCCGTATGTGATCTGCACCATCACCGCCTCGGCGGCCATTTCTCCGCAGCCTCCGCTGTGGGGTCGTCAAAGTCAAAAGCGTCGCAAATATGAAGCCGAAGCCGTCTCAGTCAAACAAAAATACATCTACGAATTTATGTCTCACTTTATCTGCTTTGACATTTGACACAAAAAGCTTCCGTTCCTTTCTTCTTGAAATTTTACACCGGCAGCACTGCAGTGCCCCCCCACCGGCCCATAATACCGCTGAAGCAATTCCGTGACTTCATCCCTCATTTCCAGAAGAGAGACGCCAGGCCATTAGCTACAGTTTACGTGTAGTCGCTTAACTAAAACTTTATTCCAAAAGAACGTGTGAGTTTTATCCGTTTAGGCTATATAACTGGATATTTCACTGGAGACTTTAGGTCCTTCTTGAAGTGCACTACTGTGGGAAGAACCACCAGGCATGTCTCAGTAACCACACCAGTAACACCACTTAAACAGGCCCTCTCCTTGCATACGCCCTGTCTGCCAGCTTTATTGCGTCTGAATGGTAATACGCACCTCCCCTAATATGCGAATTTGAGTTTTAAGAATAGAAGCGCAGTGGAGAATTCATTTGCATGGTTAGATGATCACTTCATGCTGAAAATGTCACAGCAGGACACTTGGGTCCTTAATATCATCCCTTAGAAATGCCATCAAGCTGACAGCTCAGCGATGTTCTGTAATTTACGAGCGCAGTGTTCTCCTTTACAAATAAGCATTTTTCAAATGCCATAAGATACTATACAAAGACATCCGGATATCTGTCAATTCACCATCCATCCATCCATCCATCCATCCATAGCCACTTGGCCAGTATACAGGGTTTTGGTGACCCTGGTGCCAGATTCCAGGAAACATAGGGCACCCTTCAATGGAGACAGCATTTCCAGGTAAATACCTAGACGGGTAACAGAATCTGTTTAATTTGAAGTCAAGTGTCTGCAGTCTACAAACTCGTTTACTTTAAGTCTGCAATCAACCAAACTGATCGCATCACGTGTTTAATGAGCAGTTTCCGTTTTCAGTCTTCTTCTTACCCGGTCACAGTGAAATTCGTAAACATTTGACCCATACCAACGTGTCAGCCACAGAAAACACGACTCAAACTAGTTGAACTCGTTTTGATAATACAGGTGTTTTTACGTGATTCAGACATACATCATAATCTTGTGGTTGGTAAAAGATTCTTCAGTTGCTAAACTGAGCTCTGCACTCAAATGCTGCATATGGGTGAAAGTCCACGTTGTATTTCATATGCTCAGTTGGGGAAGAGCGTCGTACCCAGCATTTCTGTCTTGAGCTATCTGTTAATCATTTGTCCTGATGACTTGGATGTGGACTATACAATTCTGTTATTTATATTTGATAATCCAAATACAGTTTAATTTTATAAATTGCACATTAGTTTTATTTCGACTCTACGTCGAGATACTTACGCTCAAATAGTTTGCTTATGCTGCCACCTAGCGTGAAAATCACGCAAATGAATAAAACGCAACAGATGCGCGGTGTAGGACGCGCGGGCGCCGTAACATTAACTATTTGAGATCCATCAGTGACGAGTGGATATTCAGGTAATGTTAAGCTTTCGACTAATGCAATAAATTCAAAATGATAAAATAAGATGTTATTTTGTTTTCTGTTATATATATTTATATTTCACTATCACATGCTGAGTCATCAATGTCATATACCCACTCAGTGTAAAGTCCAAACGACAGCCGCATACTCTTCATAAACTAAGATTATTAGTTGTTCACATTCATCCAGAGCACTTTCGCCATACCTCTCAGCAGTAAGCTCAGGTGAATGTCCGTAGACTTGAGCTGTATGTATTTTAATAGCTTTAAACTTGTCTCCCGGTTGCAACTATCGTTTAATACACGTGTCGCTAGTCTCTTACTAGTTCATTATCAAAAGATGTCATTTAGCTGGACGTTTCTCATCCTCTAGTGGGCCTCTAGTGGGCCTCGGTTCGGCCCGTAATCCCTTGATCAGATCCACATGGTAAACCGTCTTATTGCACGAGCTTTTCTTCTGACCCGTTGTTATAGTTTTATCCACCAGGTGTCGCAAACAAAGATCACTGTAGAAAGTAACCACTGATCCAGGATTAACTGTAAATCTGCAGTAAAATCTAGAACTATGCAGGCGTTTCTTTATGCACTATAAACTTTCCATCCATCCATCCATCCATTTTCTAAACCCACTTGTCGTATGCAGGAACATGGAGCCCATCCATGTAATATTTCCATCCATCCATTTTCTGCCACTTATCCAGGGATGGGTCGCAGGGGCAGCAGTCTAAGCAGGGATGCCCACACCTCCCTCTCCCCAGCCACCTCCTCCAGCTTCTCCGGGGGAATACCAAGGCGTTCCCAGGCTGGCTGAGAGACGTCGTCTCCCCGGCGTGTCCTGGATCTGCCCCGGAGCCTCCCGGTTGGACATGTCCGAAACACCTCCCCATGGAGCCGTCCTGGAGGAATCCTAGATAGATGCCCAACCCACCTTAACTGGCTCCTTTCCATGTGGAGGAGCAGCGGCTCCCCTCTCGAGTGTCTGAGCTCCTCACCCTCTAAGGCTGAGCTCTGACCCCTCGCAAGGAAAGCATGTATCCACTGTGTCATTTTTTCAGTCATTACCCAAAGCATTACCCTAGGTGAGAGTAGGAACTTACACTATATAGACAAAAGTACTGGGACACCTGGCCATTACACCCACAGGAACTTTTATGGCATCCCATTCTAAATCCATAGGCATCAATATGGAGTCGGTCCCCCCCCTTCCCACAAGATTTTGGAGAGTGTCTGTGGTTATTTTTGCCATCAGAGCACCCTAGGCTACAGTTCGGTGCTCGATTTTGTAATAATATCATCGGATCTGCATCCACATGTTTCGGACACTTGGGTGAAGAGAGGAGCTGAGCTGTCAACTGCAGTGCTGTCACCACACGGTAGGTAAGGTGGCGAAGGGGCAGGAGAGAATTCACCAGTTAGATATAGGGGATGATTAGGAGGCCAGATTTGAAAGGGCCACAGTGAGTGATTTTAGTCAGGACATCAGGGTACCACCCCTACTCTTTCAAAATATGCCCAGAGAGTCAGGACCTTGGTTTTATGTCTCATCCAAAGGACAGCACCATTCTTACAGCACACTGTCCATGTCACTTACCCGGGTGATTGGGATCCACACAGATCACAGGACAGGCTAACCTGTAGGCCACAACAACACCTTTTGCAGCAGCAACCCAGCTTTCCCAGTTGGTCTCCCATCCAAGTACTGGCCAGGCCCTGACCTGCTTAGCTGTAGGTGGATTATCTGGTCTGATTGGCAGGTGGTTTTCTTGGGTTGTTTTTGGTTGCCATGCCTCTTTATCATGGTGTGGAGATGATGAAAGTATCTTTGGATTGGCAGACTGGGGTGGTGGCCCCAATATATAAGAATGGGCACCGGAGGATGTGTCCCATGTTCAGGGGGATCACACAGCTCAGCGTCTCTGGGAAGGTCTATGCTGGGGTACTGGACAGGAGGGCTCACCCATTGGATGAACCTCAGATCCAGGAGTGACAATGCGGATTCTGGTCCTCGTCATGGAATGCGAGACCAACTCATCACCTTCACAATGATACTGGAGGGTTCATGGGAGTTTGCCCAAGCAGTTTACATGTTTGGACTTGGAAAATACATATGATTGTGTCCCATGGGGGGTCCTGTGGGGGGGGGCTTCGAGAGTATGAGCTATGGGGTGTGCTGTTGTGGGCCCTCAGATCCCTGTATAAATGGAACGAGAGTTTGGTTTGCATTGCCGTCAGTAAGTCTGACTTGTTTCTGGTGGGTGTTGGACTCCGGCAGAGCTGCCCTTTGTCACCGATCCTATTCATAACTTTTATGGACAATCCTGTTTGGTGGCCTCAGGATCGTCGTAATGCAGAAGCCGTACTATTCTGTTGTGGTAAGGAGGGAGCTGAGCTGGAAGACAAAGCTTTTGATTTGCCAGTCAATCTACGTTCCTCACCTATGTTCATGAGCTTTGCTTAGTGACCAAAACAATGAGATGATGGATACAAGCAGCAGAAATGAGTTTCCTCCGCAGGGTGTCTGGGCTCAACCTTAGAGACAGGGTGAGGAGCACCGAGAGGAACTAGTTGAGGTGGTCTGTGCATTTATCTAGGATACCTCCTGGATGGCTCCCAGGGGAGGTCTTTTGAACTGGAAGGAGACCCCAGAGCAGACCAAAGACGTGCTGGAGAGATTATATCCCGGAGGAGCTGGCTGAGGAGAGGGAGGTCTCAGCACCCCTACTTAGACCTCCTGCAATCTGGACCCAAATGAGCTGCAGAGAATGGATGGATGGATATTTATGGACTGTGTGGCAGATAGTTTGGCAACCTTAGTGTGTTATTGGACTTTGCCTGGTAGAAGCCCCACAATGATATGAGGAGAACATTCAAACTCCACACTAGCAGAGCTGGAGACTCAACCCCTAGTCTTTAGATGTGCGAAGCAACAGTGTTAGCTACTGCGCCACTGTGCCAACCACACTATGCACTGATTTACGATAATTACACTAATATCAACTTTTCCGAAAAATGAAGTGAGATTAGGGGTTTAAAGGCTTCCTCAATGAGTTTGTCATCTACTGTACATGACTATTAATTTTTTAATGAGTGGATCAGTTCTCAAAATGGAGATATTTACACACTGGCTGACAGTTCATGGCTAAGTCATGCAAAAATAGAAACTGCAATTTGTTCCCATGGCTGATGAAAGACATTGTTATAGGAAGACGTTGTTCCCCTAATGAACTGACCATTTTGTTTCCTTTCTTTTCGATGTCATTCCTGACTGACAACGGGCATCACTTTCCTCAGATCCAAAAGGTGAAATCCACTGTGACCGTAACACAATAAGACATCGCATAGCCAAAATGAATAAATCATTTTAAAACGCAGCCACTAATTCTCAGAAATAATGACGGGGAGTTCTTTCACGTAATTCCTTCATTGTTGCTTTCTGTGTATTTTACTCTTTAGAGATTTTTTCTTGTTTTCTCTAAATCCTTTCTTTTTGTTCAATGCACAGCAGCGCAGCGGAACCGCAGTTTATCAAGACCGTTATAGCTCACAAGAAACCCAATGAGGGAAAGCGAATGATATGCAACATCGAAGTATCGATTGCATCAAACTCTGTTACCAAATTCTGTGATAATTAACAGAGTGCTGGATGGGTGATGGCGAGCTGATGGAGACGCCCAATTGGGCCTCGGCCCTGTAACCCAATAAGCAGTGTTCCACTGAAGAACCGGGGGGTTGTTGGATCAAGTCCCAGGAGGAAATCCACTACAATATCTTTTAGAAAACCTGCTTAACCTGAATTGTTCTGTTAAAATATGTGGGCGTATAAATGGACGAAATTTAATATCCAAGTAATAAGAAAAAATGCTGAAAAAAATACTGGACCCACAAACGAGAAGCAAATATGTTTCTGTTTCTCAAGAGATGCTATGAGAGCATAAACTACACCATGGTGAATCTGCTTTTGGTGGCGGCGCTGGAAGTTCAGCCCGCTGCCAGGTGCGTGACCACAGCCCATAGATAAAAATGATTGGGGATGAAGAAAGTAGGACTATGTCTCATTTGAAAAACTGTTCGCATGTTACCACTGCTAATTGTAGCCTAGATGAGTTTGATGAGTTTTTATGGAAGGTGAACCAAGGGATGGGTAGAGAGAGACAGCTGTACTTCCTGCGGGCATAAACCACCCGCTTTTCTGCTTCATTGTAATGGCCCTTTTGGGACAAATTAGTTTCTCAATGTATACATTTTTTATATGAATGAAATTGTATCATACTGGAAGATATTCGTTCCCGCATGCAACAATTATGACATGTAAGCACGGTCGACATTTAAGTCTAAGAAGGTGTGGGGGGGGAAATAGATATTATTCTGGGATTATACTAATAAATTACATTTTTTCCACACATCTTTATTTTTTTTCAAATTGCAATAAAAACCTCAAATATTTTATGAATTTATTACCCTACCGTTTCTATATTTGCTGCAGAGTCTGTTCAAATGCTTCATGTACGATAACAGTGGCATCCAATTCTGGGCGTCCCCTGCCTCGTGCCCTGTGATAGACTGGCATCCTGTCCAGAGCGCCCCCTGCCTCGTGCCCCGTGATGGACTGGCATCCCGTCCAGAGCGTCCCCTGCCTCGTGCCCCGTGATGGACTGGCATCCCGTCCAGAGCGTCCCCTGCCTCGTGCCCCGTGATGGATTGGCATCCCATCCTGTGTGCCACGCCCCTTCATTTACCTCAATGTGAAACCCCAATTGTGACCAGCTGTTTCCTGTTATTTTGGCTTGTCTTGTGTATTTCAGTCCGCGTTCAAGTCTGTTTCCCCAGGTCTGTCATTAACATGTACACCGTGTCGTTCTAGTTGCTTGTGTTTCCCCCAATAAATCCCGCATTTTGGACTCCCGCTTCCCAACCTTTATTCCCCAGTTCCTGTGTGCTTGGCCAGATGTCACACTCCCCCTGACCCTGTCCTTAATAATTAGTTGGAAGATGGATGGATGGATTTAATTTTTTTGCATAAACTGGTGTTTAATAATTTGTTAAAAATTATACTATTGCGTACCCATGCAATGATTAAAATTATTAATCTGCTGCTGATTGGTCCAACACCGTGACCCCCACCTCCGCCCCCAAAGACACACATCTGTGGGGCATTGGCCCCACCCTGGCCGAGAATAGAACAGAAAAGGTCAAAATGTCACCAGCGGCATGACCTGCAGGTCACAATTAGCCACAGGACTTCTGGGCATCTCATATCATCATATCATCATATCATCGTAATGACCCCTGAAAATACCCGGACAGAAATACCTTTAATATCCCGTCCCAAGAAGGTGAGTCAGAAGTGTGAAAACAAAGCTAAGGGCTTAAAAACAAGGCGGTTTGAGGGACGGAAACACCTTCAGGTCTGTCCGTTTTAATGGCTTCATTTAAGCCGGGGACAATGTTCTGGTTTATAGTTTCTTCTCAGAATTATAAGGGCAAAGCTTAAATAGGACTGAATGCATGCTAGATGACCATGCACGCATTCTGGTGTTGTGAGACGCAGGTCATGGCAATAAGGAATGGGGGATGTGCTCCCCCCCCCCCCAGCCTATTCCCTCCCACCTCTGAGGCAGTGTCACGCAGAGGTGGCCCTGTGTGAGCCAATGGTAGCTTGGGTTGCCATATGAGGTGGGGTTGATAGAACGGTCCTGCTCACAACTAACTCACCTTTAGTCAGTGTGGACATCCCGCTGCTGCTGTGCCGCCCCCCCCCCACACACACACACATACACACAAACACACACACTCACACCTGCCATCATGTGCCTTTCCCTGCTTCTCCCGCTGCTGAATCTCTGGGGTGAGTAACTGCTGCCTGTTGATTCTGCCTCTGCGTATCTGTGTTTATAACCGCTGAAATCGGACTCGGAGTGTAATACATAAGCGTGCCACGATGGCACGGTCGGTGTTAGCTGCTGTCTGTGTGCGATTACGCGGACGCGAAGGTCCGAGCCGGGTCATTGGTTTTCCTGATGCTGAAGTGGATAAAGGTTGGTGTTAGAAAGTTAAAGCAAAAAGAGAGTAAAAGTTTGTTGATAAAGAGTGATGCGGGGACAAATTGAAATGGCCTCGTTTTCCGCTTAATGTATCATTTCGATTATACAGTTTAATTGTTTTGGTTCGTCATTCGCGATGTAATACTTCCCAAAGCGAACGGATTACTGATGCGATCAGTCCATGCTCTTTTTACAATAAACAGGAAAGTCATTGCATATCATGAATCAATTTAATGTTTTATATTGGTTAATATTCGCCTGCAATACACACCTGTTTGCTTAGCAACAGTTTGCTGATAGTGTGGATACACGAAGCTGTAAGTAAGTGCTGTGATAGACATCTCTGATGGTCCCAGGCTTGGGTGGTGGGAGATGATTCAGGCTTATGCTTATGGCCCCTGGTGGATGGAGATGAAAAGGAAGCAGTGAATCAGGACGTGGCTGTCGAGTGTATCCTGAACACTGTGCTGAACACGAATGCCAACATGGGGGGGGGGTTGTTAATTGGCTTTAAAGAGTTTAAAGAACTTAGCGAAAATTCTAGTGGTCGCCAGATAAGCTACATTACAAGTCTACCGTACTAATATGTACTGAAATCAGCATAACTCGTAGTCTACGAATAGTTTAGCTGAACCTGTGAAACTGCTAAAATTGGTATATTCTATCTTAAGTTAATAAAGGCCGGAATACCATTTTTACCAAACAGAAACAGGGAAAATATAAACGTGATTTGGTTAAAAACCTACGGTGATTAAATTAGTTTGACCGAAAACTACAATTATTTGTTTTTACTTTAAAAATTAACATTTTAATCTGCACGGATTACGCCTGAAAAGTGTAGCCAAAGATCACACAAGGTGTATGAAAAAGACAACAAGTATCACCTTCTGACAGCTTGCAGTAGTTTTACTAAAACTGGATTTTTTCTTTCTTTACGGTATTTTTGTCAGCGAAGCTGGTGGTGATGTTAAAGCGCGAGGAGATGTAAATTTATATCAGCGTTTTAAATTTCTTTCTAAGAATATTATTTGGCGTGATTATGCGAATCGTAAGCCTATGCGCAAAGAAAATAACAGTTCCTCACAGGGACGATCATAGAAAAAGCACCGGGTTTTAAAGAGTTTTTTTAAAGAGTACTTTGTGTTCTTTATGTTCTAGATCAGTCGTCATCAGTCGTTTCTAGCTATTGAGAAGATCAGGGACTACGTCAAGTTTATCTGGGGCTTGACTTTTTTGTTTTTGAAGGAGGATAATTGGCATCGGGGCTAAAATATGATCGGACCTAACGACACCCATGATCGTCACCAACTCTGCTCCTGCAGATCTAACACCCTGCAGATCTTAGTTGCAACTCTAATTTAACACACCTGATACAAAAAAAATCAGGCCCTTCAGTAGCATCACAGTATCAGAGCCAACTTAGTTTCTACATAGCTGACTCCAATACTGTATCAGGTGCGTTAAATTAGGGCTGCACCTATGCTCTACAGGGTGGGAGATCTCCAGGAACAGGGTTGGTGACCACGGATCTAGATTGACTATGAAGTGGTCCTAGATAAGCATTATGTAAAAGAGATGGGTGTATGATATAGCAACATGTCTGGGTCCAGGCTTCAGTGTTTTCGTCCTTCGTACAGGAGCTGCCCACTGTGTGGTCTTTCAAGCAAGCATAAACATGGCAGGGATGACTGGACAGGTGACATTTGACTCCAGTCTGGGGACGGCCACCTTAAACCTCACAGGAGCTCAGAGTCCCATGAACATTTCCCTCGCCGAGTTTCCTGTGATGTACGGGCATTTTCTCAGTCCGTGCCGGGAAGCAAGTGTTGGCCCCAAGGTCTTCACATTCGCTGCTGACGGGCCGCAAGCCACGGTCGACGTATCCGACTTATTCCGGCAAAGGCCCAGCCTCGATGACCTCTCGCTGGTGGTGGAGATGGCCAACGGGATGACAGCTTGTGGCAATGTTCGCCAGAACGTCAGCACCAGGACATGGCAGGCCAGGTTCTTCCACCCCGTGGCAGGAGATGTGTACATCCGCCAAAATGTAGGCGAGAACGCCACCAGAGTGCTCTCCGGCCTCATAACGCTCCGCGGCACAGTCGTGGTGGCTAATGTCACTGTGTACGTCTCCCAAAGCTCTTCCCCGACCTGCAAGGCCCTCATAAACAACCTGAAGCCATCCGATTTGTCGCTGCTGGGAGACCTAGCAGTGGGGTCCCCCGTCAAGCCTGTGAGGTGTTGCAGGGATGTTCAAGATTTCATTGGGGAGGGACATTTTTTACTCCTCAAAGTCGAAGAGACTTACACTTGCAGCAAGATCAGAGAAATGGAAGAAAAGGTTGTGCACGCTCTCATAGACATGAAAGGAACCAAGGGCACGTTTACGTTTAGTCAGGTATCTCCATTTGATGTCACAGAAGTCAGGGTTAATCTGATGAACACGAAGAACCTGACGAGAACCTACCATGTGCATCAGTTCCCCATGCCAGAAAGCAGGTCTACTGAAGAGGATGTTTGTAGCCATGACAACGTGGGTGATCACTGGAACCCACACAAGGTAACCGTTAGTGATCCCGCTTATCCCCATGGTCCAGGGGCCACCCATGATATGTATGAGGTCGGGGACCTCAGTGGGAGACACGGGTCCTTGGATAACATCAGCGATGTCGAGCAGTTCTTCAGTGACTGGAACCTGCCCCTCTTTGGAACCAACAGCATAGTGGGTCGGTCTGTGGTGATCCACCAGTCCAATGGTGCAAGGCTTCTTTGTGGTACCATTGGCTACCCGGGAGAGGTGATGGTGTTAAAATCTGTGTTCAGAAACCCTGTGGTGGGAACCATTTATTTCACCCAACTGAAGAGTAACAAGTACACTGATGTGTCAATTTTCATGGATCTCAGTTACGGCAATTCATCCGCTCCAGTCAGCAATGGGCATAACTGGCACATCCACCAGTGGCCCATCAGCACCGAGACAGACAGTAATGAGAGCAGCTGTGGGAGCACTGGGAATCACTGGAACCCATTCAAGATCAACATCAGCGACAGCAGCTATACCACTGACTGCAGGCCAGACAATCCTTTTGCTTGCGAGATCGGTGACCTGACTGGCAAAAATCAGCCGATCAGCATCACCCCCGTTGTGGGCAAATTCCGGACAAAGTACTTTGTTACCGACACGACTTCCTGGACGGTGGGAGCAGACTCTATGATCGGGAGGTCAGTGGTGATCCACGAAACTGAGGGCAATGCCGCCCGGCTAGCCTGCGCCAACATCACGGCCGTTCACCTGGTCAAAGCGCAGTCGGGCACTTGGTTTGGGTCTGGCACGTCTGAGGGTCATGTCCAATTCTCCCAGGACTTCCCGGGCCTAACAACCATCAATGTGTCGCTGTCAAACCTGAACTGGATGGCTGGGGGTTACCACGTCCACAAACTGCCCATCAATAGTACGGTGAATCCGTGTTCAGATAGGAACATCATGGGTCATTTCAATCCCCTGGCCGTCAATCAGTCCTCTTCCCCTCCCCCCGGCAATGGCACCGTGGACCAGTATGAGATCGGAGACATTAGTGGAAAGTTTGGGCTGCTGATCGATCAGGACCAGAGTCAAAACCAATATCAAGACTGCAACATGCCGCTGACTGGACCGAACAGCATCGTTGGACGGTCATTGGTCATTCACTACCTTAATGGATCCAGGTAAGTGTGAAGAAAGGATATTTCACATATTTCCAAGAATATACAGTGGAAATCGCTTATAGTGATCACGTCTGTCTGGGTGAAATTGGTCACTATAAGATTTAGACAATCAGTGGTCATTGTTGACACACCACAGCACACCGCAACGAAATGTGTCCTCTGCATTTAACCCATATGTGACATTGTGACATAGCAAGGAGCAGCTAGTTCAGCTCCCAGGGGGCAGTGCTTGAGGGCAGTACCTTGCTGGTCGGGGATTTGAACCAGCAATCTTTCAATTACAAGTGCGCTTCCCTAACCATTAAGACAACACTGCGCATAAGCAGACTTAAGCGGATGATCATTATAACCAATTTTTTAACTTTTTCTTTATGTCTCAGGCAGATTACCATCTAATTAATATTTGTATATTTATTACATGAATATAAGGTAATAGAATGGACAGCTTGGCTATTTACTGAATTTTATTGAGTCTTTCAAAATACATCTATTGAAAACGCTTTTCAAATTACAGTACTGTACAAATTAAATCACTGTATAACTCAAATACTCTATAATACAGTACTGTATATAAAATATATCTTATTGTAGTTTTGCTAGTGCATCTCATTGGCTAGTTTTTGGCAGTTTATCATAAACTTTTATGAGTCTATATTTGTCATTGAGAGCAAATGACCTTCCTTTTCCCTTCATGTTTTCTATACACACATCAGTAACCTCGGGTAGCTAGCCAGAAGCAGACGGACTACCGTAAAGTAAAAAAAAAAAATGAATTACCTTGGTTTTCATTTTTTCCATATGTTGTCATGTATAAAATAATCTCAAAATGAACACTAAGCAGATTACATGATTACTATAAGTGAATTATTTAAGCAGTATTTATACAGGAATGATTCGGTCCCAAGCTTTTTGATCCATATAAGCAATTGATCACTATAACTGTGATCACTATAAGTGGTTTCCACGGTATGTCCTTTAATATTGTACTTCTTGTGTTTTTATAGCATGAGTGAGACAGAACCATGCAAAATATAACATTTCTACATTCGCATGACATATTTTCCATATTGGACCATTTTTATACCTAAATGTAAAAATAATATAAGGAAACAGCCTGATGCTATGAGGAAGCTTATGACGAGGCACAGATGGCATCCTGTTCACTGTTTTGTGGGGAAACTATTTAATACTGCTTTTCCTGAGCTGGATCACATTTAAATCTGTCAGTTCCTCTCTGGTTTGCCTTTCGAAGTCAACGTTAAAAAGTCTGTCGTGTGAAAATTCACTGCCGAGTGTCTGGTCGCCAACACCGTCTTCTGGACGGCGCTGGACCCTCGCTGGAACCTTCACACTTAAATGCACTTTTTTCCACGCTGTGTGTTAAACTTTTGTAGATGATTTTACCTATTTTGATCATCATCCATCTGTCTAGATTTTGATCTAGCAATGGACAATTCATCAGTCTTCCTGACCGCATGCCTCTCTTTTCATATTCCACCTTTGGCTAAGTAATTAAGTAATTATGTGATAGGATTTCTGAGTTTGCGAAGAAATTTCCTTCCTTGTTTGGAGTTACTTTCTATCTGGTTCTTACTGTCTGGTAACACATGGCCACAAGATAATCGTTCTTCATGCAAAGTTAAAAATGTAAAAAGATTTCTTGGTTTTCTTAGTAGAGACTCACCCATCTGCGTGTAGTGTAAGTTGCAGAAAATGCACGATATGTTTTATTGTTTGTGAATTATGAAAAGATATGTAAGAAAATGTGTTTTATTTAGTTTGACGCATCAAGAACAAAATCCGTTTTATCATTTACTTACTGCTTCCTTCAGACACTTTTGGCTGTTTTATAGATCTTATTGGCTTGTTCAATAGTCTGACCAGCCTGCAAAAAAAAAAAAAAAAACTCTTGAAAAATGTTGCTTATTCAAATAAGGAATTTGTGTCTTCTGTCTCTGGCATCTTGGACCCGACGCCGACCCAGAATGCAGTGTGCTAACATTGTTGCGGATAACAGTTCTGATGGATTCTGGGTAAAAGCGAAGGTCGTCTTCGGAGGTGCTGTGACAGGAACCATCAAGCTGGTAAGACTTACAGCAATCTTTACTCCTTCACTGCTACATTATTATTATTATTATTTTGATCAGTTTCTTCTAAGCATACATAAGTATGATTCTTCAGGGTATTTAAAAAGAGGTTGGGGGTAGAGAATAGGTCCTACAAAGAACTCAGAGGTTCAGAACAGGTCTGGGCACGGTAGAGAGTGCAGAAGGGAGCTGAATAATAGGGGGAGGGGTCATTTTAGAGCTGCCAGGAAAACATGACACTTTATTGGGGGGGGCGGGGGCTGTGAATTAATGAGCAGCATGGATCATAACACTGGTGTCCTGGGGCTGCGTGTGCAAGCGATGCATTTGTGTGGGGGGGGGGGGGGGGGTGTCTACTGCCGTCCTCCCCGCTCTGTGGTTGCCCCGGAACCCCACCCCTCGCCGAGCAGATGGGGCTGGCAGTGTGGTCTTCACAACTGCGCCCGGCTGTCAGTTTACCACGCTAAATCACTCAGGTTGCGGAGGTGCAGGAGTTGCGGGGTGGCAGGGGTCTTGGGGCCTTCTTGGGTGGCGCAAGTAATGGCAACATGGTTCTTTAGTCCCAGCAGGCATTTAAAGACGGGAGCCATGGTGACAGCCTACTGGAGGTGGACATACATGCGGCCCAGGAGATGAATGTGAGTATGAATGTAAAACCATCATCTCCATCCATACACCTAACATCAAGCTACACAAACAAATGCCGACATGAGCACCCTTGGTGGTTGTAGTTCCAAGGTTAACCTCATTTTTGGTCATACACTATAGGGACAAAAGAGACAAACCTCTTAATGATTAAATTTGGGTGTTTCATTCAGACACATTGCCACAGGTGTATAAAATCAAATGCAGTCAGGTTTACAAACATTTGTGAAAGAATGGGTTGTTCTGAAGAGCTCCGTGAATTCAGGCGTGATGCTGTCATGGGAGGCCACCTTTGCAATAAGTTCGTTCATGAAATTTCTTCCCTGCTAGATATTCTTCAGTCAACTTTAAGTGGTATTACTGCAAAGTGGAAGTGCTTAGGAAAAACAGAGTGTTGAGTGTTTAAAAGTCGCCAGCACTCTGTTGAATCAGTAACTGTAGAGGATTTTTTTTTTGGTCATATGTCGTTTGTAGTTTGACCATCCTTTGTTGTTCACGTTGACGTCCTGTCCTTTGTATCCTGGTTCAAAGGTCACTGAGGTTTCCTGGTCCATACACAGCCACCGTACAGGAGAGGATATCCAGGAGTGTTCGGACGTGGGCGACCAGTTCAATCCTTTCAACATAAGCTCAGAGGTCAGTTGTTTTCCCTTCCTCTAGATCATTTTCACTGTGCTCATCGGGTCTAAGCCTAAGAATGTTTTGAAGCAAATACAGCACATACTGCTCTCCTCAGATGAGTTTGGTTCAATCCATCCATCTTCCCGCTGCCTATTCTGGAGCCTTTTGTAGGCAGTACGGGGCAGAAAGCAGGAGTACCGCCTGGACGGGTTGCCAGTTTAGTAAAATGCACACCCTGGAATCATACCAGAGTGACCTTTGACCTGTTGCTAATATGCTAAGTGGTCTTGTTCACCTGTTAGACCTTGAGGCTCTGACCGCCGATATTGACAATTTGACTTCTCCTCCGAGGATGCCAGAATTGCTGGATATTCACTTCACTCCTGTTTGTTATGCAATGTGAAAGAAGGGGATTGTGGGGGAAAAAAACCCCATAAAGTTTGCTCCATTCTCCCATTTCTTCAGAGCGCTAGCTGCTCTGCCAGGCACCCTCTGCACTGCGAGGTGGGAGATCTGACCAACAAACACGGCCCGGTGGACCTGACCATCAGGCAGCTGTTTACGGACGCCAATCTGCAGCTCACCGGAGATTTTACAGGTTACATGTGTGACTCTGACTCCGCTACGTTCCGGCGGCCGCGTCAATCATAAAACCGTCACCTGAACGGGAATTCCTTTTTGTATGGCATAAATCACAATTGTGAGGTTAAGTTACACGATCGTTCATTCCGGCCCACTATCAGATGTGGACGTGAATAAGTGCCATTAGGGCGTTTGGCAGAGAGATCCTGTAACGCTGGTTTTGTCACAGTCATGTACAGGTCAGTTGTCCTCTGGAGTGGAAATGGGATCCTGTCCTGTGCAGATATCCTGCCATTTTCTCCATCGGCGACTCTGATCTTTCCCAAAGTGACCTCCTTTAGCAGGTAGGTGTGCGTGCACCCAGAAGCCATCGCTCCCCGTCCCCCCCGGCCAATTTTTCCGTACCCCAAATGCAAATGTGGGCATTCCTGCTTCTGGCCGAGGCCAGTGGGAACCCGAGCCGGCCAATATTAGAAGGGCGGCAGGTTAGCGATCGGTTACGTCCTCATGTTTGGGGAACGACACTAAGCAGACACGAGCGGGGGTTTTAAGTATTGAGGATGCAATAACGGGGGTATATTGACATTTGGTATGTGCAGTTTTTTTCTGGAGGGGGTGGAATTTTGCACTAGCGTGACTCTGTTCTAGGAATGGTACATACGACCCCATAACAGGTTTTCATTCAAACACCAGTATCCATTCTTCGTATTTTTTTGTGGGGCGAGTTTGGGGGTGGGGGCTAGTAATGTGCTAATTAAGATGTATATATTAAAATGTAAATAAGCATGGTTTTTATTTTTGTTAATAATATGGTGGTTTTTGGGTGAAATTAACCCTTGCTAGCTAGGGCTGAAAAGCTGGAGTAACCTGATCCGGATATGTTCTGGTTTCAGGTTCGACTTCCGCAGCCGAGTGGCGGCCGTCCTCGATGTGGACCTGTGGAGGGTCACCATCTTGCCCGACGAGCTGTCACCTGTTCCCGGGAGCACGTGTCAGCAAGTCACCTTTCTGGTGTCAGGTGTGTCATTCGAAATCCGTTACATCAGCAAGGGTCATAATCAGGGGAGCTGCTAGAGATTTTGGGGCCCCTGAAAGCATATAGTATTGGGCCCCCCACCCCGACCAATCCAATTATGTTCATGATTTTCTACCCCCCCCATTTTGGCATCCCTGGCAAAATAAAAGCAGCAGACCACAGACGTTTAAAGAACATTTCTTTAGGCCTGTTCTTACTTTTTGTAACTTAAATCATATATCATACATATGTAGCAAACTGCCTAGTCTGTAATGCAACTAAATGCAAAGTGAAATATTGTTCAGTATCTTTCTAAATGTGTAAAATGTTTATTTCATTTAATTTTGTATCAGTTCATTTGGGTCTGCAGGTAGCATCCATTCGCCTGTGAGTCCAGGACCTTAAATGACGTGCCTGGTGTCCATAGTGCAACCAATGGCAGGTTCAGGGCAGGCGCAAAACCAATTTGCAGTATAGAATAATAATAACAACAACAACACTACTTGTGCTATACTTCATGCCAAACCCCCCCCCCCATTTCCATTCTATCCTCTATTTTGATCCTTCATAATGGACGTGGACAGTCTGTTTTTCGAGAGGAACCAGACCTGAGACGAAACACAAAATAAAATACAAATGGTGCAGGACAAAAAGATGCATTAGTAACAGCAGCATTACTCCAACAATGTAGGAGAGAGTTTGATATGGGGGGGGACTTAATAATATAAATACATTAGGTCTATTTATTGGGAGATGGGCGAATGAATCCAAATGAAATATTGGGTGAAGCACGCCCCCCTCCCCGGTTCCTACGGCCCTTCGCTTCTCCATTATACAGTTTCATACAACGGATTAAATCATATTTCAGCGCATAATGTTGCAGATGATTACATTAATTGTAAATAAAATAATTTTATTTACAATTAATGTCCCCACTTCTGTAAAATGCTAGGGAATATTTAAGTTTTAAAATAAATAAATAAATAAAATCGCCAAGTATTTGTATAGTGGCAGAGACCGAAATATATGCAATTACAGGAAAGTTTCCTAGACGGGAACAAGAAAATGCTGTGAATGAGTGGCAGGTCACTTTTTATAGCGTCTAGTTTGTGGTTCTTGCCTTTGTAGGCAAAAGCACAAGGCGAAGTAAATAGAAAGACTGGCATGGTATGTTTTTACAGTGCCCATATCCAGTGGGCAGCTACTGAGATCCAGTGTCTGAGACTGGAGGCTTGAAAAGCATGAATAGGTTTACTTATTGTTATAAAAACTACAGTGGTTCACAGGGAAAGCATTATGTGATCTTTGTCGGTGCCGTTATTACTGCCATTGGGGAAGAACATGTTCACAGACTGAGAAGGAAACCAGACTCCAAATCTTACCTAAAGAACATTTTTCATTTATTTACTTACCTGCTGCTTCTGTCCAGGGCAAGTTACGCTATAGCGGTGGTTCTCAGCCTTCCTTGCACCGCGACCCATTTTTTTTAGCATGCCAGCTCAGTCGCGACCCTTACAGAACTTGCTGCAACCCAAATGTGGGTGGTGAATCTACACGGAAGTGGCTATTCTTACGCACATTCCGTGGGATTTGAACCATAACCTTCGGGTAGTGGTGTCATGCTCTAATTATTGGGCTACAGAAGATGGTCACAAGAAGAAGTGCAGACAGAAATAGTCTGGATTGCATGGGTAGAGCTGTGAGTGAGAGCCATTGGAACAGCTTCAAGGGGGTTTCAACAAACATGAAACAGAAGAGTTTTAATGTAGTGCAAAGGTAATTTTGTTTGGAAAAAGGATGCTTGTGGTCCGCAGATGTGATTCAGCAGATGTGTTCATAGAAACAATTGATCCTCGATGGGAAATCAAGGTACGAACAGTAGCAATATCAAACATACCTCATGACAGAATAAGGACATGTTGGTAGAAGATAGAAGGGTGGATTTCACAGGATCCTATCCCATTTTTTTGATGAAATAATTAAGTGTCTTTGGGGTGGCGTCTCCTGCAGATGTGAGATCAACAGCAGGAAGCTGAGCAGACGAATTAAGAGGCCACGTCCTTTGAGAAGATTTTTTTTCGACTTTTATTGAGTTCATGGTGCAAAAAAATTTGTTAATATGTATTCTTGGGTTTCATTCATTTCGCGAAAGGGTTGATTTTTACATCTATAGTCTTTTGTTCTTTTTGCTCCCTTCAGAGGAATAGGCAAGATAAAGGCCTTTCCTTTTTTTACCTGAACAATGAACAATCCCACCCATTCAAAAGCCAAGCACAAAAAAGCGGAAAGAAAAAAAAAATTGCACGGTAACCCAACGCTGTGGTGAAGTGTCTGAAGATTCCCCCCCCCCCTCCACCCGCGACAATGCGAAACAGGAGAAGGGGCTGCATCCAGGCAGTATACAGCCAACACATTACCCACCTCCGGCAGCCCCCAGAGTGTGAATTTCTGACAGAAACCGCCGCCTTTCGTGATCGCAGCTTGAAACTTTCATATTCAGCGGTTTGATGTGGCAAAGGTCTTACATGATAGAATGGATGAAAAATGGGATTCATATTTCACATATTGCATTTTCCTTTGACTTAAGTGTGCACTGCAACATATATAATTTTTAATATCCTAAATAATCTTCTGATTGTGTTATTTTCTGCTACAGAAGCAGTTTGGAAACGTGTTGTTACAATTTACATTATTTGACTTAGACAGCTTCTGCATGATGAGATACAGGTGCGATCGTGGTGGTGGTTTTTTTTGCAATTCATATGAATACTATCGTGACTTTTCAAATGCCATAGCAGAGACCAAGAACTTCAGAGTCATATGATTATACAGAGCAGGACCTGACAGGTTCTCCTGTAGATTTAGGCACATGGAGGAGAGGAATGAGGGGGTTAATGGGTGACTGATTATGCAAGGGGCACTTAGTCTTTGGTACTGATGAGCATCAGCAAGACTCCTGATTCGTGGAGAATGTTTGTAAGGTTAAGTGGTTAAACTTTTGTCGAGTGCCCTTCAAAGTCCAGTCAGATTCACCAGTTCTAACTAAAGTTGTTTGTGCAAGTTTTAGAAAGAACGATTCTTGTATTTGTTCTAGCAGAAGACAAGCAGATGATCATAAATTAAAATCCCATTGCTATTCATACCTTCAGGCATGGTTATATATCACACTACCAAATTACATAGATGTGGTTTAATGCTGTAACTCGACCAAGGTGACAGCTACAAGAGAAATGTAAACACTTCTGATGGTTTGTACCACACTAAGCTAAAGTGACGTACCTCCTGAAAGGTGGTTGAGATACTCACTACTTCAGCTTATGTCTGGCGAGCCCATAACCATTCAGCACTGTTTTTGCTTCCAGGGGACGTAAACAAAGAGGTGCTGAACTCTGTCAAAGACAACGAGAAGATGGGGCCATTCAAACAATCCCAAGCGTGCCCCAAAAGTTAGTACGATTTTTAAGCATTTTAAGTTGATTAGCCGGTGTTTTCATGCATTTTTTTAAAATTGGCTTGATATTCTTTCATGGTTTGATCTCTTTATATGTCTCAGACTTTTTTTAATTGCACATGTCAGAAAAGACCATAGCGTTTGCTGTGTGTGTTTCTGTTATGGAGCAATTTTTTGTATCTCTACAGCTAAATAAAGAAACTCTTTGCAAAGACAGAGAAAATGAAGTGTTCACATTTGGTTTTGTAAATGCCCTTCTTGGTGGTCTAATTAGCTGTTCAATCTCTTAAACCAGGTGGAAGTTCTGGACGGCCTGAGATCAACGGAAGACTTCTGATGCTCATAATTACAGCACATATCATTCTGTGCCTGCTGCAGTAGACAGTACTGCACTCCTGATGGCTTCCTTATGTTCAGATGGCAGAAGCCAGTTTTTGATTCGCTCCCGATAGCGACGGCATCCACGGCTGTATCAGGGCCCGAACCTGAAAGAAGTGCGATCTTTTTGGTGGTGTCTTGACCATAACCTGGAACAAATTAATGTCTAGTCATTGAACGGGTGTAAATATTATTATTATAAATATTCATGATCTACCTGAGGAAATGTGTATATATATATATGAATGTGAATCGTAAAATACTGCACACATAGGATGTTTGTCTTTAAAAAAGAATATTAAAGTGATACACTTGTTGGAGCTTGTCAGAATTCAAAACATCCACCCTGCTCTGGTAGCTTTGAGAAATTTATGAAAATGGTCCATTTACTGAACTTTGTCTGTGTCACTCAGACGCTCAAGCATTTGATATTTTTTTTGCAATATTTTAATTCTGAATGACAGTTAAATACAATATTGATACAGTGTAGGCCTGTTGTGGGCGACAGTTTTCCTTATATTATGCAGTTATTGACCACATTTCATTTTAATGGATCATTCATGTAACAGATGACTAAATAACTGTAAAGATGTTTATGTAGTCTGTTAAGAGGTGTGGACATTATGTTTTAAGATGTTTGCTTAGTACATTTTCTAAGTGTTTACCAGTTGATAACTGTGTGTTTTGAAAGTTTCGATTATGCGAAGGTTTTTTGTTGTGTAATTTTCTTTCGCCACTAAATGAGAATCAACTGAACATTGCCAGATATTGGTTACTGATGGTAAATCTGAAAGGTGCCCAACTTGGGGATTGAGCTGAAGTTAATAATTATAATAAAATAAATCATAATAGCAGAGGTAGGCGAGTATGAGCACACCCCCCAACACCCAACCCCCTCCCAGCTGCGGCACTGAGTGAAACTGGTGTGAATTAACGTGTACTATTTGGTTATACCTGGGTGAGCATTGCCAACATGCAATAATCCTAAGAAATAGAGCTGTTTCCCATTAGCTATCCTATTTATAATTTACTTGAGAAAATATTTGCATATTTACAACGATATCACATTATACATAAGCGCGCCAAGACGCAACTCAGCAGTTCATGTCTGAAACACACGAAGCTCCCGGAAGACATTACGCGTCACGTGACCTCCTGCGTCACGGCTGAAATGGCAGCCTACAGATACACACACTGATATCGGCGCTCGTTCTGTAGCCTAATATTTCTTTCTGTAAAAAGAGTGTCCACAGCAGCAAGAAGCGAACCAGGCAGGTGCGTTTTCAATGCCTGTTTCAGCACAGTAAATTAACAAGAATGCAGTGTGTTGTGACTGGCTGTTCGTGGAGTGACATGTGATTTGCTAAAGTAATACATGCCTTCCTTGCTTCCCTGACTTGTGTTTAGCTACTATCGGACGTGTTCAGGGACTTTAAAGCGAGTCCAGGCCGATCTGACCACGATCTGTCGTAATTATCGAGAGCTGGCGGTCTAGTTATTTAGTGGACTAGGTGGGAACTAGCTGGTTAACCAACCAGCTAAACTCCTTTCAGTGAACATAACTCACATGTCAGGATCCGAGTCTTAAATTAGCCGATTACTGGGGCCGAAGGCGTCGCCGATTGGGTTTCCGGGGTCCTTTTGTGCTGCCTCAGCATCAGATCTTAGACGTTAGCCGTGATAACAGCGTGTTAATAAAGAGAGCCATCCGGCTCGCCGTTTCTTTAATAAACCGACCAATCAGCGGCCGCCGCGGTTTTTTAACGAGTTTTGAGAAACGACAATCTGTATTTTCCACCCCAAGCACAACCATTTTAAAATCTATAATATTATAAATACCCCTAAAGTTAGTCACTGCTGTTGTATAATGCAAATTGGATTAAATCAGAACACTCACTGGGAGCGATAAGTTAAAACCATGGTCTGAGTTGAAAAAACAGCAACTGTTTTTACTTATATGGCACTTGCGTTACATGCGCCCTATTCTATATTATAATATAATGGTGCAACGAGATTTAAGATAGGTTTGGATTACTCTTCATTAAAATAAACTGTATAAGAACATTGAATATATGGAGTATTTTAAGGGTGAGATTGTTAATATTTAACCATATCCATATCTCGGCGATTTGCTGAATCCGCCCTTTAATGTACTTAGAGGCTAAAGATCAGAAAATACAAGCGTGTGTTCGCATACATCATCTGGAAAGACCATGAAACAAGGTAAACTGTGTTGTATGCTTTGGTCATTGTTTTGAGATAGAATATATCTTTCGTCATTTTTTTGGTCATTGAAATACTGTAGCGGAAGAAAGTGTAAATACTTAAGTGAAAGTATCGCCAATTACTTGTAGGTGACTACAATGTTTATATAGTAATTTAACATTTAACAGATTTTTTGGTTAAGGAAAGCTACAGCAAACTGTGGGTTTACAGATAGTCTACTCTTCTTTGAAATAGATTTTTTTTCTAAATAAACAAAATACTTAAATTTCATAGTAATTTCTTGTACGATTAGACCCAAGCGACCTACCTGAGCTATATTTTAAGTACATATAATATGAAAGTAAATCCTAGATGCAGTTCATTTATAATAAGCTACCCTACTCGCGTTTTGTAAGATTAGATGCGTGTTGTCTGCTCATAACTGAGACAGTCGCTTGTGGCGTAAGCGGCCATGTGGATTAACGCGTGGCCTCCGTCCCCAGACGGCAGCGCGATGTCCCCGAAGATCACCGCCGAGCTTCTTCGGCACCTGAGACAGGTGATGAAGAGCAGCAGATACGTCAGCGAGCCGCTGCAGGCCTACATCATACCGTCGGGGGACGCGCACCAGGTACGTGCAAGCGCGCCGCCGACGCTGTCGCTGCTGTCAGATTCTGCCTGGGAAATATCCACGTCATACAGTTTAGATGTGACATTTGTGATCTAAACCTCAGATGTCGTTTCAGATGTCAAATATTTGTCGTTTTGATGCCGTGTTTTTTTTAATAACAATAATCAATTGCGTGTGATTAGCGGAATTTTTAGTGGCGTGCTGATTTATATGATGTGCCCACTGCGCAGGGTGGGTATTTTCCCGTTTTTTTCCAGGGGATTCCTCGTGGAACCTCCTGCCGCTTCAGATGGGAGGGTGTTTTCTGGGGGGAGGGTTGTCTGCTCGCTGTTTAGAGGTCGAGGGGCGCATGACCTCTGCGCCGCAGCCACTTGTCCGTAGGCTATTTAACCCACCTCTGTTAATTTTTGTCACTGAGGGAAGAAGAGGCTGATTAGGGCTCGTTAATGGGTCCGAGGGGCCACTCGCTGCTGATTGCACTTAATCACAGCCGACGTTCCCGCTCTCCTTGCGCTTCAGAGTGAGTACATCGCCCCCTGTGACTGCCGACGGGAGTTCATCTGCGGATTCAACGGCTCGGCAGGTACGGCAATGCGGGGGTCCGGCGCAGTGCGGGGGTCCGGCACAGTGCGGGCGCTCCGTGTGCACGTGCGTGAAAACGTGTGTGCGTGTGCAGGCCTGATGCTTGTGTACTTCCCGTGTGGCCTAGGATTCTGTGTTCCCACTGTAAATCTATTTATTATTTTATTATGATGTTGTCGTAAAGATTTATTTTTAAAAATCTGGGGCATTAGTGCCATATTTGGTATCCCAGTGCTCATTACATATAATTAAAGAGAACAAAGTCTTACACAGAGCAGTAACACATCAGCTGTTACTTGTGCATCTCTGGGTTATTTATTGTCGATTCACTTTTATATTGATAGATTATATTTGTATTGGTCATGGTTCAGGCAGGGAGGGATTCCTAGACACGTGTAGCTGGACAGCAAAAACACCCCCGTGTTTGACACCATGGCTCAGTGCCATAGTTGAATATAGGGGGGGTTGTCACAGCCCCACATACCAGCAGATTTCAAAGAACTTTCCGGTACAGACCGCTGAATTAATACAAAAGATGGAAACGAACCAGTAGGACCCAGAGTGATCTGGCAGAGTCAGTTAATGTGACTGGTGTGGTATTGTGTTTCTTGTAGGTATCTGTGTTTAAAGGACTCAGATATGGGGCTTATAGATATGTGACCCCTTAATATGCATTGGAAATAGTCATCAAACAGTAGTTTTTTTGCTTTGTGTTTTTTTTTTGTTTATACTTTGTTAAATATTTCATTGCATATTCAGTAAAATGCAGACTTGTGCCCCACCACTGTAAGCTGACCCCTGTGCTCATCTTACCATGAAATATGCAGGGATGTGAACAGCAGACGCGTTTAAAAAGGACCCCCAGTGACTCTCCCTGCGAATCCAGCTGGGCTTGAAATAAAATAAATGAATGCCGTCCCACTTCCATCCTCGCCGGCAGCATCACGGACGTCCGTTTCAGCTCTCCATCGCAATAGTTCAGAAGCTTTTTATGTTGAGTTTGTCGCTGGACGTTTACGAGGTGGTGAGAGTGGCGTCGACGTGACGTGGGGTGTGAATGAACGAGAAGCGCTCCGACGGTCAGGGTGGCGGGGGCCGTTTCTGAGGGCGAGCGTGCCTGAGCCCCGGCCTTTTTCAGGGACGGCCATCGTGACGGAGAAGCACGCCGCCATGTGGACGGATGGGCGGTACTTCCTGCAGGCGAGCCAGCAGATGGATGGCAACTGGACCCTCATGAAGATGGGTGAGCAGGACCTGGTGACATTAATGACAAAATCTACCAACCAAGTTATTACTACTATTAATACTGTATACAGATGCTCCTCGACTACTGATGGGGTTACTTTAAGTTGAAAATATTGTCGAATATGATAAATAGGTGAATTACTGTAGTCATTGAATAAGTAAATATTTGGTTAAACACCAAAAAAAATAAAAAAATCACTCTACGATACTTGCTAAATACTTTATGAGTTATTTACGCTACGCGATCGCTACGGAGACTGGAAACGTGGCTGTGTACATGCTACCATCGCCCGACGTCAATAGAAAGTATCGTATAGCATACTGCTAGCGTGGGAACAGATTTCAGATTTCAAAATTTGCTATCGCACCATCAAAAAAACCATCGTAAAGTATGCATCATCTGTACTTCTGGCTGTGATCACTACCTGGTGTCTATTGAGTTGAAGATGGTGACCTCAATGCTCTTAGCAGAAGTTTTAGAAACTGTTTTGAACAGTTAAAGGTCTGTTATTTGTGGTGGCAGTGATTTTTTTTTTTTAAATGAGATTTCTTGTGTTTTGGCAGGTTTGAAGGAGACACCAACTCAGGAGGACTGGCTGATCAGCGTGCTTCCTGACAACTCCAGAGTGGGTGTGGATCCTTGGATCATCGCAGCAGGTCAGCTTGAAGACTCGGTCGTCACAGTCGGGGGTCTTTAAGCATGAGGAACGCTGGTCTTGGGCTGGTGGGCGTGGCTACTTTACTCATTATCTGGCTTTCCCTTCAGACCAATGGAAAACCATGTCCAAGGCCCTGAGCGTTGCTGGGCACTCGCTGGTCGGCGTGCAGGAGAACCTCATCGACGCCATTTGGCAGGATCGCCCCACAAGACCCAGCACCGCTCTGATCACGCTGGGGTTGACGTTCACTGGTGAGTGCCCTCTGGAAGCTCAGATAAGCAGTGAAATGTTGATGAAAGCAAAAAAGAAAGGGTGAAGGGCTTAAATTATTAATTAATGTAATTAATTTGTTCTGCAGGCATGACCTGGCAGGAGAAGATCGTGGCTTTAAGGGCGAAGATGTCGGAGCGAAAGATTTCCTGGTTTATCGTCAC